ATTTTCTTTTTATGGCCACTCCTTACACACCCATCTCATCAGGGGTGTTTCTTTCTTTTTATGACATAAGAAAATGACAGATTTTTGTTTTATTGGTGATAAGTCACAAAATATTTGATGCTATGGTCAACTTATTGTAAATAGCTTTTTGGAAAATTCAGAGTTATAAGGTAAACTATTTCATATTTATGCATTTAGCTTTGTTATCATAAGATCAAGCGCCTTAGAATTAGACTGTGGGGAAGTTTTGAGTTTTAGGTTTGGTTTTGTGCCTGTGCTATGTCAGATAAGCATACTCCACTAGACCAGCATACCCATAGTCAATACCCCTTTATCCCTTTAGTTTTGTATGAAAAAAAAAAAAAAACTTAAACTGCCTCAACGGGCATGTATCCCTTATTCCCAAGTTATTGAATTACTTACTTTTTGGTGTTTTTTGAAGCGTATGGCAATTTGACCATTCATTTTTTTTTTACATGACTAAAGGGATAGACGCCCATTGAGGTAGATTAAAGTCTATTTTTCTTACAAAACTAAAGGGATGAACACAGATCTGATGGCTTGCATATGCATATTGACTATGGTTATGCTGGTCTGATGGGGTATGCTGGTCTGACAGCACACCACCAAACAAAGCAGAAATGCACTTTGATAAATCAGCTGTTACATGTGAAAATCGTAGCATCAAACCAGCTTGACAGCAGCCAGTCAGGAGAGAGATTTCTGTGTTAGTCCTCAGTAAATAAGCAAACTTTCCCATATGTTTTGATTCTGTTATTTTAGATTTAATAGTAAAGTTAAAATGGAAATTCAGCAGAACATACCAGTTTAGAGCATGTTAGAAGACTGCAAAACATGAACATTCCGTAACAATTAGGTTCTCAAAACATAAAGGTTATTTATAACTAAGTTAATATAAAAAAAAAATCACAACATCTGTATTGATTTGCTATATAGAGAATGATGTCATACAGTATTTATTGTGACTCTACACTTGATATAAAGGTAATATTAATGTTAGTAGCTAAGGTTTCCTAAGCAGCCACTGTAATAGCATTTAATTTATCAGTTTAATCATTCACTAATTAAATAGTTTGCAAGACAAACTTCAAGCATGTTTTCCTTGTATGTGTATTCAACAGCATAAATCTAAATACACATAAACATAAAGTATACGCATCAAATTAAACCTCAGTATTCAAACATTTTCTCACCATATCTTTAAAATACCGTTTATTATTTGTGCCAGTAATACATACTTACACATACTGTTCAGCTGTCGGATATTAAGGATGTACAGAAAGGACATGAGCTTTGTAGTATCATTTAGTTTTCTCAGAAAAATTAATCACTGCTATCAGAAAAGCAATGTTGGAGCATAAAGTGAAATATGGTGGAATGTGTTGTGACCAAAGCTCTGGGACAGATGTCAGCTGTGGCAGGTGGTAACTTCATTTCAAGCATACTTCAGGGGCCTCAGTGTTCCTGCACATAAGAATTACATGCTGATATGTGAATTATGGAAATTTTTCTGCACTGGTTGTGCAAACGAGGATGTCCAAAATCCATACATGTGCACGGCTGTAACTCTCTTGTATAGTTTTAGGTGCGAATTCTTGTCTGACGTGTGCATTACAGCTTTCTGACCTTTTCTCTGTGTGTTTCTCTCTCCTGTTTTCTGTTCACTATTTTTCATAGTGGTCGTTTGGAGTCACCATGTGGGAAATAGCCACACGAGGCCAGACGCCTTATCCAGGGGTGGAAAACAGCGAGATTTATGACTACTTAAGACAAGGAAACCGTCTCAAACAACCTCCAGACTGTTTGGACTCTATGTGAGTTTTCACTTCTTTAAAGTTCTGTTAAGAAAAACTATATATATATATATATATATATATATATATATATATATATATATATATATATATATATATATATATATATATATATATATATATTTGTGTGTGTATATATTTTTATGTGTTTTTTGTTTAGCTTTTTAAAAGAAAAATAAGAACTTCCTTAGATAACAGGAAGTGTATATGTCAGGCCAACCAATAACTAAGGCTTCTTTCTGATCTGCAGCTACTCTCTAATGTTCTCATGCTGGCTTCTGAGCCCCAAAGATCGTCCATCTTTTGAGACACTGCGCTGCGAGCTGGAAAAAGCCCTCGAGGATCTTCCAGACCCTCAGGACCCTGATGAGATACTATATGTCAACATGGATGAATCTCCTGTAGAGCTTGGAGCCGTCGGGGGCCGAGATCCTATTAGATCATCGCCTCTCTTCCGAAAAGGATTCGAATCTGTGACTACCGTGGAAGTCCACGAGCGCAGCCGATACGTCCTCTGTCCACGACATGAGACCACTCGAACCCTGTCCGACTCCCTGGAGAGCCTGGACATGCCTGTTTCATCCTCAACAGCCACGCTGCCTCTACAGCCGTCCTGCCGCACCACACCTAACCACACCCCCACTCCCACTTTGGAGCTGCTGGAGGACAGGGAATCGACCAGCAGGATGCCCTGGCAGTAGCTGATCCACTGTTGAACGTTAGGGGCGGGTCGCTGCCACACGTGTCCCAAACCCAAACTCCCTGCAACCTCTGACTGCAAGACACTTTGTGCTTCACCACACATATTTTGCACAAATGTATCACCGGCTTCCAAGCAAGTAAAAGTTTGGGATGATTTTTCTCACTAAGAACCTGTTTTGACGATGAGCACATTTCTAAGTGAGTTTGAAACAGCTGCCTCTGCTTCACCCTGAAGGAGACTTTTGCCGACCATAGACTGCATGTGAAGCTTGTGGTTTTATGCTGCAGAGAAAACATTCAGAGAAAATGAAATTACGCCTCTTTTGCAATAGCAGCACATTTCCAACTGCAGACATGCTGGAAAGTGACTTTGAAAACAAAACAACAAACTCTTTGTGAAACCAGCTGACACTGCCAGAACGAAGTGATGGACAACTGACTTTTATCCATTTGTTCAATGTTCTTATCTTTATTCTTTAAGGTATTTTTATAGCATATCTCTTGAATGTTGTTTTGTTTTTTACATCGCTGTGGGTACTACCAGGTACAATCCCAGATACATCAAACAACCTGCAGAGAATAGCAACAGCCATCCAATATAACTCTTCCAAACATTTTTCCCCTCTTAGATTTTGTCCTCAAACTTGAAGGTACGTTTGGGGTTGTTATGTGGTTGCCCAATGCAAAGGACAGTAAATAAATAAAAATCAAAAAGCTTAAATTAATCAAAACCAAAGTCCAAACTGAAAACGAACTTTTTTTCTGCAGATGCAGTGTATTTGGTTTGAAATCTTCAATAGATTTATTTAAGTCTGAGAAGAAAACAAATAAATCATCCCTGTTCTTGGTTATCAGCCTGCTAAAATGAGTCAGATCCTTGAAATTCAGCATTAAAGCGCTGCCACAGGTTTTCTATTATATTTAGTGAAGTATTCTGACCAAGTTATTCTAGCATCATTATGCTTTGATATAAACCATTCAACAGGAGCTCTGGCGTTATGTTCTGGGCCATCGTCCTGCTGTATTTAACTGTATTCCCATTAAAAACTAGCACATTCCATGTCACTACCAAAGAAAGGTCTCTCCTGAGCATAATGCTGCCACTACCATGTTTTACCATATTGAGGCTGATATGCAGTGCATGTTTTCACTGTAAATAATTTTGTAGTATGTAAGCCCAGAGTTCAGTTTTAGTTTTAGGAGTACGTTCGCTTTCCACATATTTGCTGTTTACCTAAGCTGCTGTTGGTGAATATGAAAAAACGTCATGCAGCGTTCTTTCAATAATGATTTTCAAGTCGCACCTTTTTTTATTAAGGGCTAATGTATGGACTGCAGGACTAGCAGTTGTCCGTCCCACAGATAAAAACTATGCATAATTTTTCTGTTATTTCTCTATTACGTACTTGTTTTTTGGTCCGCTATTTACAACTCTAAAATGCATTGAAGTTTCTGGTTGTAATGTAGCAAATGCTGAAAAAAATTCAAGAATAAAATTATGAGGAGCTGCATTTAAAAAAAGAAGACGAACCTTGAAGTGTTTTAAATTAGAACCTGATCTGTTACAAGTTTTACTGTCAGTTCTGCAATGAGCCATTGACCAAGCATCCGATCTACATTTTGTTTCCAAAACTCAGGAAGTAGGGCTTCTAAACTAAAAGGCTGAGACAAACTGCTTCAACTTCCAAGGGACTGATAAGAGGTACAGATCAACAGAGAGATGATGGAGTAAAAATCCTCATTTTAGTTTTGGTGTCAAATTTAGAGATTTCTTTTTTATTTTGATGTTATTTTTTTGTATTTGTTCCAACTTTTGCACTAATGATTTATTTTGATGGTTTTGTACAATGATTCTCTGCCCTTAAGGAAGATGGTTCATGGCAGGATTTGCATGTTATTGATGCCAGAGAACAAACACTGTGGGTCACCATGCAGACCTTTCTGGGTTGTCTGAAAAGTAAAAGACTTTCAAATCATGAAGGGATGTCACCCAGATGCCCTGAGGATGTTAACTAGTGTTGCAACATGTGTGCACTTATATTTCTATGTATCCATGTATATAAACAGTAATTATATAAATGTATGCCTTAGTCGTTCAATAAGTCATCAGAATAGATGTTCCGGCACATTTTGGGAGAAGAAATAGCGCTGTCTTTTTTGTTAGAATTAAAGGTACTTAAATCAGTGTATAGTTTTACTGCAGAATGTTAGGATACATTTTGCTCCATTTCCTTTTTTTGTTTTTTTTGTAATACATCTGGTATGGTTTACACAGTGTGAGGTTTAGAAAAAGGTGCTGAAAATAAGATTCACTTCCTATTTCTTGTGCACATGGAGTTTTTTTTTTTTCAGTTAAACTTCCTGCAGCAATAATTGAAACCATTTCTTCCTCATTATCCTAATGTCAGCCTTAAAAGAGAGGATTACACAACTTTCACAAGTGCCTTTGAATAAGAGCCAGTATTTTGCATTTTGATGAATATTTGTTTGTTCCATTGGTGTTTTTACATTTTTAAGGATTTTATACAATAACTTCTTTGATATTGTCAATATTTGAGAATCTTTTCTACAGTATTTTTGCATAAGAAATGAATAAATTCAAAGACACATTCTTTTGCTGAACGTTAATCCTGGTGATTTATTCTCATTTGTTCTGAAGAATTGGAATTTTTATTAAGTAGCTGCAAACTGAAAAATAAAACAGCAAGTAAAAATAACCTGAGGTGACATAGACTGTAAAATGAAAGCATAATGTGACATAAAGAAGGACGGTGCATAGATAATGAGCGGATCAGAAGTGGATGTAGGAGATCTGAACTTCTCCCTCTATCTCCAGCTTGTCGATCTCATTGAAGGAGATTCTGTGAGAGAAGTCGAACAAGTGCTGCCCGTTCACAAACACCTTGAACCTCTGGTTCCCGCAGCGAATGGACATCTGAGTGTCAGACAGAAAACTTATCAGAGAATGCATCATACGCAAAGTAAATCTAGAGGGATGGCTATGTTGCTTACATCAAAGTACTGTCCCTCTACGAAGGGATTTGTGGTGAGCTCTCTCTCCTCCTTGCCCCACTTCTCTCCTATCCTGGTGTTTCGCACCACAACGCCTTCCTTCACTCTGGGGTTCATGTGGAAGGCGATGTCTCTGGATCTGCTCACCACTAAATTGAACCCCATCCTGGAAAACCAAGATTCTGTCAGAGCCCAGTTATCTGAATGACTTCGCCACCCCTACTAATGAGCACAGACCTCTTTGCTGCATAGGGTACCATGCCCCTGATGATGATGGTCCTCTTAGGGCACATCCCTCCTGGGATCATAGCGTAGTAGGGCACAGTCTTAAAGATAAGACAGTTATCTTATATAACATGCATGGCCTTTGCTTCATAAAAATATACATTTTACAATATCATGAATTTCAAAATAATAGTCTTTTTTTTTTTTACAACTGAGATAAATTCATGAGTTAAAGAGTATGCTGTAATTTTCTTAATGCAAACAATGCAGTACTTGCATGAATGCTTCTACTGCCCACCTATGCAAGGATAAACAGCGTTAAAAATCTAAAAGAAAAAAAGAATGTTTCCTTCATACTTTATATTGTAACTTTTAACTGCTTGGTCATGAGCTGCACAGTGTCAGACAACTGTTGTGATATACAGTAACTAGGAAGAAGGTTCTAGGTTAGAACTCCAGCCTGTGTTTTTTTTCTACATAGAGTTGGCATCTTCTCCCTGTTTGGTAGATGTTCTATCCAGATATTATAACTTCCTGTTAAAGTCCAAAGTATATGATGTTTCACAT